GAAAAGAAAAAGTAAAATTACGATTACATCATTCGAGTGGGAATTTCCAAGAGTGAAGATAATTATAGTTTGTAAAGTAAAATAGTTGCATATTTATAGGGGTGAATATGTTAAATAAATTGGTTTTTTTTTTTAAATAATTTATTTTGTTCTTTTAAAAAAGTTTGTATATTTTTGTTTATTTTATATTTTTAACAATTTGTTTTTAAGGTTTTCTTTTCAACTGAGTTCATCAGAAATAGAAAAATTTTCAGAAATAATTTTATTTTTTCCTTAAATTACCGTAAGACTCAAAATTGTTTGTTCCACAATTTCATGTACTGTTAATGATAAATAGAATTAAAGAGCCTAATTTTTCAGAGAATGAATATAACAAGACCTGTAATCAAAATTTTTAATAAATTTCAAAGATATAAAATAAGGTACAACGAAATTCTAATTATTACTCTACATACAAAAATTTCTTAGCAAATTCATATAGGATTTTTTTTACTTTTAATATGAGTCGTATTTAGTCATAATTGTGTATTGTGTATACTTTGTCCTCATTCTAATAATAAAACAATGAATATATGAAGTGCATTTAATCAAAGGAACATATGTTATATACTTAATATATTAAAATAATGGAATAATAGGAAAAACTCCTATAATTTATTATACAAGAATAAACCATTGTTAAAAAATGGAAAAATCAAAATGATCAGGCCGTATTTATGTTATATAACAAAAAGAATAATTAAAATGCAAAAATTATCAGTTTGTAAAGAGAATAAGAAGATGAACAGAAAAATTTAATTAAAAATTTTTAATTGCATTACATAAACTACTTCATACATTCATAATTATAATTTGTCATATAGTACAGAACTCATTTTGGAATCCACATATTTTAAGCTTCATATAATGAAATATTATGGGTATTTTCAAGAAACTATAGGAAAATATAAGAAATTTTATAATTCCTACAGGTTTCTGGAATTAATTTTGTAAAATTATTTTGTAAAATTATTATGGAAGGTTTTCAACTTCCAATTCCTTTAAATATATTAAGCCTAACTATATGCAAGAAATGATAGCAAAAAAATATGAAACCTTCAATATAGCTTTAATATTACATCCAGATTCTTATTATATTTTTAAAACTAAAATTCATAATTCTATATTCAAAAACCCGAATACATATACCATGCTAAATATTAACATTATATTTATACACGAAGCTTATATAATATGCATTTTGGGTGTGTGTTCATCTACGCAAACAAAAATTTATATTCTGTGAACATTACGCATTTCAGCTTATCTTTTTATGAACAAAATATTTTAAGGATTCAATGATTACATCCAAAATCATCACAAAATTTTGTTTCAGAGAGGATTAAAATCTATAGAACAAAAAACAAAAAACAAAATAACAACACAATGAAAAATATAGAATTTTTTTTGTCGACAAAACGGTATATTATTTGTTACAAACTAAAACGATAAATTTGTTTTTCTTTTCATTTTCATTGTTAATACAAATTTTATATTTGATGATAACAATATTGGCCGACATAAATTCAACACATCAAGAGAAATTATAAAAATTATAAATAGCAAAGCACATATTAATGTTCATTCATGTAACAGAGCAAAAATATTTATGTATATGTATGTATGTATATCGTAATTATTTTTTATATCGGGATATTAGGGTTTTAAGACTTTGGTAATAATTGTAATCAGTAATATTAAATGGGAAATTCGTTTTAACAAAGTAGAAGCTTTAAACATGAAATTATTTTAAATAACTCGTATTTGGAAACTTATATATAGGAAGACCCTAACTACAATATGTCTTAGTTAAATATTTAATATAAAATTTTAATAAACCCGTTCAATACTGTGTTGTTCTTTGATATCACCTTTAACTCTAAAATGTATTGTATCACCTGTTTAAAATTGTTCTTGTAAATGAAAACTATAAGCTGGAGGTTTTACTTCTGTCCTCTAGAATTTCAAAAACTCCAATCATTTGTCTATAACTCTTGATAAAGATAATAATTAGATACTTCACATTTTTTGTTAATTTTATTTTATGTAGAAAATGCAGACACACTATAATTACTATTATACTATGCTATAAGCTTGTTCTTATGATTTTATGCTATAATAATTTTAAAATTTTTTGTTTATATAGTCATTTATAATAATTGGCACTACATTGTCATTTTATCATTTCAAAAAACCTACGTTAAAACAAAAACCAAAACACAGGAAACAAAAATTTAATGGGATATGGAAAAATTTACTTTTGATCACGATTTTTAAAATTCCCTTTAAAATTATATACACAGAAACCTTTCTGAAATACCTTGAAATTCCTTAAACCTAATCAAATTATTATTTATATTTCTTTTTTTCAATTCAACCAGTCAAGTTTTCTTTTGTTCTCAATCATTAATAAATTATGTTAAAAATTATAATACGATAAATTTTTTTACTATCTAAAAGGATATTATTATAATATAGGATAACAAGGACGAATTGATTATAAAATATTTCTATATAAGATTTATTGATAATGAAGAAAGGTGATTTTTTTTTAAAATAAAGAAAATGTCAAGGATTTTTAACAAAATAACAAAATAAATTTGAGCATAGAGTTTAAAAGGAACAAAAATATTTGAAACTCACATTAATAAATTTCATTTTTATTTCTTTTCTTAATTTCCACATATCTATTGAAAAATTCTTTCTATTTCTTAATAAAAGGAAACCTCAATTACCAGAAATTGGTAAAGAAATCTCTTCTCATTCTCTATTAATATGACATGGCCCTAGTATTATGTATTGTAATTATATTTTAATGGTATTTAATTGAAATTTGTAAAAATTTGTAATTTTTGTTTTAAAATTTATTTTAAATTATTTAAATATATTGGATAAATAAATTAAATAACATATACATACATAAATAGAATAAAATCAGAAAAAAAAATAATGAAATTTCATAAAGATCAAAATATATAAAAAAACTGAAGAAGAACAACATTTTATTAAAAATAAGTGTATATGAAAAGGAACGAAATATTATTTACTAAAATACAGAGTGTCGGCAAATAGTGTAACTTTACTAAGATTAAAATTGAATTAATTGAACCATTTCTTGAATTACTTTCAGATCTGAACATTTGATTTATTAGCTGGATTAATAAATTTTAAAAATTTAATATTTTATTTATTAATATTACTTTGAATATTTAAGCTACATACAAGAATATGCATCATATTATTGCACTGTTATATTAGATCCGAAAAAGCAGTAAAAATGCATAATTTTTTTTTTTTAAATCGAGATAAATTGGTAATTTAAAAATTTTTCGAATATTAACTAATTGGTAATTATGAATATATTATAACATGCAATTGATTATTCTTAAATTTGGCAAGAAGCTTACAAACATTATGCCCCCAATAAATTTTATTTTTGTTATTTTTCATAGACGTAAATTATGGAATTTTTTTTAACATAGCTAAAGAAAATTTTATTATTTCTAAAGGAACACTATTTGCTCTTTCCATATTTAATTTTATTTTGAAATTTTAATATTATATATAGGTATAACAATTTTATAATTTTAAAAGTATAAAAAAATTTATTGAGAAGTTGTTGTGAAAATTTTGTCCAATTTTTCGGATACAAGACTATTTAAATTTTTCCTACATTGTTTTTATTTGTTTTCACAGTATCCACATATTTAACAATAATATATATGTATGTAAAATATTTACAAATATTATTGATTACATCTAATAAAAATCTACCTTATCGATCGAAATAAATTAAGTTAATACAATAGTGAATAAGGTGGATTTTTTATTAAATGCTCTGTTCAATATTGTTAAAATGTATAAAAATTATAAATTATAGATTAGAATGAAATATAAAAGTTAAATATGAAAAAATTAAAGAAATGTAAAAAAGCAAATAATATGATTCTGTTTTATATTTAGAAGCAAAATAATTAAAGATTATTATTAATCATCTAGGTATTTACAACAACTTAATATATAAAAAATTTAATTTATATTATTTTTAAAGAAATGTCCGGTTATAAAATTATAAATTTCAATAACAGAAATTGGTCCACAATTTATTTAAATTTTCTTCAATATTTTTTATAAATGAAAATCAATATTCTTGAGCAAAGCTACTGCAATAGAATGTATTCTTATCTCTAGGTTAAAGAGCGTTTCCATACAATATAATGCAAAAGATTTGGATTTTATAAAATACCTTTTAGACTTTTGATTTGATAAAGTAGTAAATTAGTCAAATTAGATTCCTGTTAATATAATTAAATTTTTTGAGATTTCCCTTAGAAGGTTGAACTGTGCAATAAATTATAGTATCTGTAATAACTGATATGCCGGGTATTTCGCATAAGATGACATATAATTTCAGGGATTATTACTTGATCAATTCCAGCAAAAATTTGTATTGATCGGAAGAGTTGGGGAAGAGGGGGTAGTATAGATATGTTCGTTTTCGAGCTATAGCCAGTTGAAAAACACTTATAACTTCCGAAAACTTAATATAAAAAATACTTATAACTTCCGAATCATGCGATATAGAGTAACCATCGGGGGCTAGTTTCACAGGTGATTGATTGTTTTTTATTTTCAGTCTTTAGACAATTTTATTTGAGCTATTGTTCCGAGCTTTATGGCCAAGACAGATTTTTTTTTTTAATTATTAAAATTTTGCATATATATATATATATATATATTGGTTATTAAATAAGTATTATTATCGACATGCAAACATTTTAAAAAAACACTATAGAAAAAATATTTTGAATATTTTGATAAAGCAGACTCTTTGAAATATGTTAATAGAAATATATGTGTATAAAAAACAAAAGCAAGAATTTAAATAGTAAAAATTAACGATTATATACAAATTCCATTAAGAAAAACTAAAACACATGTATGTATATATATAGACTTACTTGGTTTAAATTAAGGTTCTTTCTGAAAATATAGAAAAAAAAATATATTAATAGTTTATATAGAAATATTTTTTTAATACAAATAAAATAATTGCAATCACTCAAAATTTTTAAAATCAAAAATAATATAAATTTAATAATAAAAAATCTATGGTTGGCCACATTTTTCTTGCCATCCCGCATGTGGACTAGGCTTTCTACCTATATTTATTTTCACTATATTGATGGGAAAAAAAACCTGTTCCGCTCCGGAAATATCCACAGCTGAGCCACACCTAGCCAGCTCGTCCGTTCGTTTACTTCCAGTAATGTTATGATGGCCGGATGCGTAAAAACTGTGACACTATGGCCAACACTCACCTCGTGACAACATTGTCCCACCAACTTCGAGAATACCCTAGGCGACTTTATGGTCAAAACAGCGTCTCAGTGGTCGTTCAATATTGCAACATTACTAGGCACAATAAGGTGACAAAAATTCCTTAATAACTGTGTAGTTTGTTAACTATATATTAAACCAGTTTATATTGAGCAATTTTTAGATCTATCATAGAAAAAATCACCTGAGAAAAACATTTTGCGAAAGAACGATATTCAACACAATTCCCAAGAATAAAATATTATCTATCAATAACATAATTTTCAAGTAAAATTTAAATTGCTGTAAAAATAAAACATAGTTTTCAGCTAAGCTTTAAATTCTCAGTTCACAAAAAACAGTTCAATAAAAACGTATGATCTGATCGAAATTTAGTTGAAAAGCTTGAGAGGGAGAGTTTTTTACTCAACAACAAATTTTACTCTGATTGAGATTGAATACATTTTTTTTTTTTGATTTTTAATTAATTCTTGATTTTGTGTTTTTCTCTTTCGATTTTTTCTGTTTTTAATTTATTTTTTCGTTGTAATGTAAGTCAATTATTTCGAGTGAAAATTATTTTAATAAATTTTATGAGTAAAAATTATATACACTCTTTTAAACATTGATTCTATAAACGTGTGTATATGTATATGAGCATATATACATAATATAATTATTTTTCGTACTTCTAATTAAATTTTTTTTTTTTTTGCTTTGATGGTTTATTTCTGTTCTCCTTTTATTTTAGTATATCAAATTAAGATTTTTATGAGTATTAAATGAGAATAGTAACGTAATGCTTAAGAAAATAAAAATAAAAAAATAAGAATAAGAAAAATGAAAAATTAATAAAATTTGAGAATTTTATATTTTAATTTTCTCAGTATATTTTCTTCATGAGAACATGAGAAAAAGAGAAAATTATAAAATTGTCAAAAAATCTCACAACACAAGTCACAAGAAAGCATACTATATAAAAGACATTGAAAATTTAATTAGTGTAAACCGTGCAAATAATTTATTCGAAATGAAAAAAAAAACATAAGAATAAAAATAAAAATAAAGCTGTAAAGTGTATGATTTTAAAATATATAATTTAATTTTGCTACTCGTAAAATTTAAACAAAAAAAAAAAGACAGCGGCACGTATATTTATTATTAGAAAATTAAATGACAGTTTGTTTAATTTTGTGCTTCTTTGAGTAGTGGGAGAATAAAAAATAATTATTGCAAAATTAAGATAAAATTTAAGAACTTCTTCTTTTTTTAGTGAAAAATTTAATTTATTTAACCCTTCAGTCAATAACAAAAAAATATGTGCTTGATAATCAATACGTGAAATACTCATGGTATGCCATGTGTATTTTATATAAGTGTGAAAATTTACGATAAATCTACTCAGTTTTAATCTTTGCAAAAATTTAGTTTTTCTTAGGAAACCTTAGTTAAATTTGCATACATTTTGTTCAGATTTTTAACGAAAAATATTTTAATCGCTAAATTTATTGGATATTTATGGAGGCTATGTGCCAAATGTTATGTGCCTATATTCAGTCACAGAAATCATGTTGAGTAAAACGAAAAAATCTTTCATAACCATAGAGAATAACAATATAATGAATACCACTCATTTTTTTGGATTATAAAATTCTTTAAAATAAAATTGAAACAGAAAAAATATTTTGACGAAAATTGAACGAAAATATTAGTAATATTATTAAATAGAAAAGAGGAGTTATTGTTTAAGGATAAATTCATGTCAAATTTTGAGCCAAAACCCATAATGAAAGTGAAAGAAAATTTTAATAAAAGAAAGTTTTGAATTCATTTATAGAGGAATAGGCATACTTATGCAAATGAAAGTAAAATAAGCAAGTTTTGAATTTTACAGGGACTGAGAATATACATACTTTTGCTAAATATCACGCTTCTTTCATTCAAATTTTAAAAGTTTGCAATAATGTTGCAGTCTTCATATACATAAAGGAAAATAATGAGATTTTCATAAGCTTTCATAATCAACAGCCATCCCAATTTTTTTGAAAAATAGCATAGACATACTTTTGTATCTAGTCTCCATTTTATGTATTTAATATTAGAATGAAGATCATTTCAGTTTCTATACAATTTGAAATTTTCATTTCAGAAATAATAACATTACATTTTACATAAAATTTTAGCAGATTTACATCAGGTTACACCAAATAACTGTTTATTATGAGAGTTTATGAATTTGAACTTCATTTGATTACATAACGATAACGTAATTCATAAATTACAATTTCGAAAAAAAAGTCAAATTTTTATTTAGGTGCATACAGAAGGGTTAAAAATGCATATATTTTTTGTGAAGAATTATTTCGTTAATAAAAGAGAAAGAGATTCTAATTATACAATTATTCAAGAATTAAAATTTCTATTACTCTTGTATGACATAAAAATCTTATCATTTTATTACATACGAATTTTGTTTTCATTCTTACTTTCTAAATTAATATTTTAACAATTTACATGAGGGCGAAATTCACCTCCATTTTTATATAAAACAAAGGAATTAAAAATAAATTTTTTTGTCACCTTTATGCACACATCAAAGTTTATTAAGATTTTTAGTTTTTGACTTTTTAGTATTTTGTAAAAAAAAATTCCAGTAAAAAGAAAAGTAAATACTCAAAATTTTAACAAAAGAAATCTTTCTTATTGGTTATTACAAAAAATTAAAAAAAAAATTGACTTTCTATTCAAAAACTTCTTTCCTTTTACGTTATATTTGGAGTGAAAAAAGAAAATGATATCCTAAAAATGTCAAAAATTGTAATCCTTTCATTAAATTTATGAAAAATTTATTCAAAATATTACAGAAGAAAGAGGATAAAAAAAAACCTGAAGAAAAAATTCATTTTACTTATATTTTTTTTAATAAAGTTTCTCCATTGTGAATGAAATTCAATCCTTTTCAAAAAATAATTTACTTTAATTCTCTATGTGGTAAAATAAAAATCTATATGAAGTAAAGATATTATTTTTTTTTTTCTTTTATAATAATATATTTAAAGAACATTAACACCTGACCTTTAGGAAATATTTTCTGGATTTTGTTTTGAATATGACAAAAAAAATTTTTTTTTATAAAAAATACGAAATATTTATATGGAAGGATCTAATAATTTATTATAGTTATAAGCTATACAAATATGATATTAATGTGGAAAACCAGTAAAATAATGTGAAAGGATAATGTAAAATAAGAACAAAATGAAAATATAAAAAAAAATTGAAAAACTGAAATGCTCCTTCATTTATAAAAACTCAGTAACATAACAGTCGTACTCATTTCGACTACAAAAACAAAATTGTGATCTGAAATATTTAAAAATTTCAGCTCAAATTTGATTTCAGAATCATATTACTTCGGCAGCCTGAATAATTCTTGTATTAGTAATTATTAGATCTTCAAATCGAAATTACGTCCAACAAATTTTCTCTTATGGAATTTATGGAAATTTTGCTATAATTAAAATTAATTATTGACTTTTAGTCATATTGCCTTTAATGGTAAAAGAGGAAAATTAGAGGAGGAGAAAATGAAGAAGACAGGAATAGAAGAACGACTGTTTCATAGTTTACGTTAGCTATTCTTATGTTATCATCAACAATTTTTTGAAAAAAAGGAATATTATTTAATATTTTATAAGCAAAAATATTCAAGTGAAAAGAAAGTAACTAAAAAGTACAAAAAAAAAAAAAAACAAATTACATAATTTCCTACTAGTCATCAAAAACCTAAATGTTCATCTTCTCGGTAGAATTCTTTTAAGTCAAGCATATAAATATAAGATTTAGATATACATAATTTTTTTCCTTTGTTTTATTAATAATGAAAAAAATAATGCATTGCGTAGGTTTTCAATAAATAGGAAAGTATATTATAATTATATAATGTGTACACAATATATGTACACACATATATACTAGTAAAAATTTTACTCGTTTACTTGCTTCTAAATATACTGGAACTTACTAAAAATACATTATATAACACAATATATCGAATATGTTTACATATCACGTAAGCTTTTTCAAAATTTGATGTAAATACACCGTAAAAAAATATATATAATATATATTAAAAGAAACTCTTAAAAGCGGACATATACTCAGGCCCGGTTCTGGCTTGTTCGGCGCCCTAAACGGTTTTCAAAAACTGCCCCACCCCTTGCTTTCAAAGCAATGTATAATACGCAATAAACATTGCATATTGCGCGTAATATATGCATCCTTGTTTTCTGGCGCTTGTCGAATATGCTTGTTTTGCATGTATGGCAGTTCTGCTGCTGCGTATGCTCCCATTTCAATTAATTTCATCGGGAAATGCATAACAAAATCATGTATTAGATTTCCTACATTATTGTATAACCTGTTTTTTATAATACTTAATATTTTATTAAAATTCACCACACAAATGCTTTTTTTTTGCAGTGTATGTTATCTATATTAAATTTTGCAAAATGTCTCATCATGGTTGCATAGGCATAATTTTCTTAATACAAAAATATTTTATATAGCATGATAACATTTTATCTTTTAATGTTATATATGTACATGTACTATGTATGTATAATATATTGCAATATGTACTATGTATGTATAATATATATAGGCT